TTTCTAGGATATACCCTTTGGTAGGAAGATGATCCATGGAGGGGATTGGAACCATGGCAATGAAATGATATACGATGGAATGAATGTAAAACTAAAGTTCTCTCATGTAAACTATAATATAATTTGCAATAAAACATAAAAAAAAAAAAGATATTGATGTTGTTGTTGTTGTTAAGTTCTGCGAAGTTGGTTCTGACTCTTAGCTGAATTGGGTTTCTGAGGAGTGGCTAGTAGATTTGAACCACTAACCTTATGATTAGCAAACCAGTGCTTATCACTACAGCACCACACCAAGACTCTATAACCATGTGAAAATGCCAAACTGTTAATATAACATTTTACTTAGATGTGAAAATTAAACAAGAAGAAAGCAAACATAAAATGTAAAGCTACATTTCAAACTGTAAATATTGGTTCAAAAATGACAAAAGAAAGAATAGTTGAACAAAACTTATGGGTAAATTGACCTTAGCAGATAACCACACAGCAGCAATGTTTTCTAAGTGACTCAAAAAAAGATTGGAGACAAGGGTTATCTCCTAGCCTAGGAGTTTAGTCGTCGGGTCAGGTTTGTTTTGGAAACGGATGCATTGCAGTTTATTTAGTATTTGAATTTCACATATATTTAATGCTGTTACGTCTTTTTTTGTTAATCTTTCTCTCTCTCCTTTTTTGAGGCTTTGCTGTTTCAATTTTGTAGTTAGCTGTGATTGTTGTTGTTAAGCACTGCCAAGTTGGTTCTGATTCATAGGGTTTCCAACATTTTTAAAATCTTTGCAGGAGCAGAAAGTGTCATCTTTCTCCTGTAAACTGGGATTACTAAATATAAAAAACTCTGCTCTAAATGCCTTACATATATTAACTGATTCAATTCTCAAAATTCTTGTGAAGTAGATACTATTATGATCCCCATTTTCTAGATGAGGAGACTGAAGCACAGAGAGGTTAAATAATTTGTTCAAGGACACATAACTAGTAAATTTTTAAAAGTCTGGAAGAAAATACACCAAAGTATTGCAGGTGGCTTCTTAGTGTATGGAATTATTATGAATTGTAAGAAGTGTGACATGGCAAAATATTGAACTAGGGAAGTTGAGATAAAACAGACGAATACTGGCAGGATTTGTGGACTGACTGATTCAGTATAGGGTTGTAGAAGACAGAAGACTAAGAAGCTTGAGTGATGGTGATGTGTATGCTAGGACAGAGAATATTTAAGGTGGCACAGGTTTGGAAGAGAAGATGGTGAACTGAGTTTTGACCATTGAGTTTAATGGTAAACATTTGAATAGTTATATTTTAAGCTCAAGATTTAAATCTAGCACCTACCACTTAATAGCTCAGACTGTGGTCAAGTTACTAATCAAGTATGTGTAAATGTGTATATATGGCTAATATACTAGTTATACTTGTTGTTGTTGTTGTTGTTGAGTGCCTTCGAGTCGGTTCCGACCCATAGCGACCCTGTACAGGGTTTCCGAGGCTGTAAATCTTTACGGGAGTAGAAAGCCTCATCTTTCTCCCGCAGAGCAGCTGGTAGTTTCGAACCGCTGACCTTAAGGTTCGCAGCCCGATTCGTAGCCACTACGCTACCAGTTGGCATTAAATAAATTAATCCACACTGGGCAGTTAACAGAAAAGTGTGAGGTTCAAATTTATCAGCTGCTCTGTGGGAGGCTCTGGTAAAATTTTACAGCCTTGGAAACTCTACAGAGTGTTTCTGCTCTGTCCTATTGACTCACTATGAGTGAGTCACTATGAGTATCTACTTGCTGGCTGGCACTTGGCAGATAACATTTAAGGGAGAAGATCACCAGATTTTTCTCCCCTCAGAGTCACTAGTGGGTTCAACTGTCCCCCTTTGTTTAGCAGCCCAGCACTTAACCATTGCTCCACCAGGGCACCTCTTCCTTCATAGGGTTTCTGAGACATAAATCTTTACAGTCTCATAGAGGAACAGAAAGTCTCATCTTTTTCCCATGGATTGTCTGGTTCATTGAACTGCTGACCTTTCGGTTGGCAGCCCAATGGTAGGTAACCCACTATGCTATCAGGACTCCTTAAATTTCTAAAAGAATTGTTGGGTCGGGACCGATATAAATATTGATGTACTGTGAGCCATAAGGTGGGAGAAAGATGAGACTTTCTGCTCCTGTAAAGATTTACAGCCTTGGAAACCCTATGCAAGGTCGCTGTGTCCAAATCGACTCCAGGGCACACCACCAACCAACCAATGAGCTACAAGACTGTATTTAAATTCTTTTTTGTTCTACTCAATATTCACAGTATTTAGCAACTAGCTCTCTCTGCTTGGAACAGAGTAAGCCCTCATCAATAAATGCATTGGCTGAGTGTAGCAAAGTAATTTCGAGAAATAAGGGGAGCAAATGATTTCTAATATTTGCTACCCAGCATTTCGCTTTTTGAAGAATTATTGCTGTTGGTTTTAAATGCTGTCCGACTCAGAGTGACCCTGTATAGGGATTTCCGAGGAGCAGCTGGTGCCGTTTGAACCACCAACCTTGAGATCCAAGAAACCCTATAGAGGGTCGCCATAAGTCAGAACCTATTTCAGCCTTAGATGCTGTCCTTTGGAATGAGGTTTTGAATCCACAGAAGGGCCCATAACATGGAAATATGCCATCAAGGGAATTGATGTGGCTTTCTGGTAGAATGGAGCAGATGTGGGGTGGAGGAAGAGTCATTGCAGAGCGATATGGTAAGGTCAGTTTTGGCAAGTTTCCATGATAACTCACACACCCCTCCCCAGGATCTCCGAGTAAGGCTGCTTGCAGGGACCACCCAAGACAAAGGCAGCCCAGGGATGGCCTGTGGTGGGCAGCAGATCATGCTCAGGCCCCCTTATTCCTTAGGCTGTGTCACCTGCACCCTTCCAAAACCTGTCATATGGGATCTAAGGATGCTCATCAGTGCCACCTTCAGTTGCTCAGCACGTGGGAGGTGGGGAGCTGGCCCAAATAAGTTTAAATCTGACAGCCTTTTTCTTTTCTTTTTAATTTTGCCAGTCTAACTCCATGGAATATTTAAATTGTGGTCTAATGTAGTTTTATCTTTAAAAAACTTTGCTATCTTTAAAAACTTTTGTCAACAACAAATATATGTTGTTGTTGAGTACCGTGGAGTAGGTTCCCACTTGTAGTGACCCTGCACAGGGTTTCCAAGGCTGCAAATCTTTATGGGAGCAGAAAGCCTCATCTTTCTCTAGCGGAACAGCTGGTAGTTTCCAACTGCTGACCTTGAGGTTAGCAGCCAGATTCGTAACCACTACCGGGCTGTGAACCCCTGTACAGGGTCGCTGTGAGTCAGAAGTAACTCCACGGCACATAACCACCACCACGCTAACAGAGCTCCTTTTATATACTTATATATACAGAGCACAATATGTATATATATGTTGTTATGTGCAGTGGAATCGGTTCCGACTCATAGTGACCCTGTACAGGGTTTCCGAGGCTGTAAATCTTTACGGGAGTAGAAAGCCTCATCTTTCTCCCGCGGAGC